AAAAAAAAAAAAATAGTAACTTAATATAAAAAAAAAAAAATTAAAAAAAAAATATTATTTTAAACTTTTTTATAGATAAATTATTTAAAAATAAAAAAATATTTATTAAAAATAATTTTATATTATATATATATATATATATATATTAATATATATTTATATTTTTTTTATTTTTTTTATTTAATTTCTTTTGTTATTTTTTTTAATTTTTTTTATTTAAAAAATATTATTAATTTTTTATTTTTTATCAACTATTTTAAAAAGTCTAACAAAAATTAATTTTAAAAAATATATCATTTATTTTTTATTTGTATATTTTAATTATAAATATTATTTACTATAAATAATTAAAACATTTTAAATCATTAAATAATCTAGTTTTGTTTCTGTATATAACTTTTGTAATTAAATGCAAATTAATAAATAATATATAATTATATAATAAATTACAATTTATATAATATATATTAATTATAAACATTAAATATAATAATATTTAATTTTTTAATATTTATTTAAAAATTAATTTTGTATATCTATTATTTTTATAAATTAATAAAATAAAAAAATTATTTATAAAAATATTATTTCTATTAAATCTAAAATCAATTATATTTTATAAAAAATCTTTATTAATAATAAATATATTAAAAAAACAAATCTTTATAAAATAATGATAAAATAAAATAATATAAATATTATTAATGAAAATAAAGATTCATAAATGATTTTTATCAATTGATTCTTAAAAATTATTTCTTCAATGATATAATATAACAAGCGGAGTATTATTTAAATTTTTATTTTAAAATGTCTTTTATAGGCTATTTACTGCTAATAAAATAAAATTGTTATTATAAATATATTTTTTAAAGTAATATTTTTATTAAAATATATAAAAACATTTTTCAAACTTTAAAAATAAAAAAAATCTATAATTTTTTTTATAAAAAATATAATTGTTTAAAAAAGAAAATGTAGCCAAACACATATTATCATTTAATAATCAAAAAAACTAAAAAAAATTTTAATAATAATTTAAAATATATAAAATTTATGCACTTTTTTTATTTTTTTTATAAAAACAAAAAATCCAATATTTTCATCTTCTATTTAGTTTATTAATTAAAAACAAAATAAACATAATAATCAAGATAGTGAAAATTTCAGAAAATTCAAAGAAAGTATCATAATAATATTAACTATTATTATATTAACTGTTATTATATTAACTTTGTTTTCTTCTTCCTTATTAGTTTCTATAATTTTTTTATCTTTCATAGCTTTAATTTTAATTAGTATAATATTAATTACTTTAATATTAATTAAATACTGGAATAATAAATTAAATAATAATAAAAAGAAAGTAAAGAATAATCCTATATATTTTTGCCAACCTTATTATTAATTATTATTTCCAAATTAAAATCCCCCTAAATTAAAAGCAAATCCACCAAATCCTGTACCAAATCCTGCTCCGAAAAATAATCCAGGAAATCCAAAGAAATTAAAGTTGAATCTATTATTGAAATTATTTTCATTATTTAAATTTTAATTTCTAGGATTTTAAGGTCTTCGAGGTAATTCTTCTGTGTTTTCTTATTAATTATTTTTTTTTTCTTCTTCTTATTCAAAATGTTATTGTCTTAAAAAATAAGAAAAAAAGTATATAAATAAATATATATGATTTTTTTGTTTTCTTTTACTTTTTTTTATTTTACTTTTCATCTCCGTCTGTATATATTGTTGTAAGTTTATTTATGTCTATACTATTATTACAAAAAGGACATGTTTATTTTTTTTTTGACCACTTAAATAATAAAATAAAAATAATTAATAATTAAATAATAAATAATTAGATTTTGAAATTTACAGTATAAATGCATGACCAACTATTTTTTTTTTTTTTCAATAAAAATTAAAATAAATAATCATATATATTTTTATTTTTTTGTTATATAAATTTATTTTAACAAATTATAATTATACCAATATAAATGTCCACAAGGGGTAATTACTGGTTATTCAGCAATTTCTAAACAAATTTTACAACTAAATTTATTATATTTTTTATCATCATTTTGTTAATTTTAATCTTATTGTTCTGATTTAATATCCATTTTATAATCTTTTATAAAATAAAAAAATATTTTATTCAATATTTTCTAACAAAAAAAAAAAAAAATTAAATTAATAAATAATTATATTTATATAGAATGTTAAAAAAAATAATCTAATTTTAAGTAAGAAAAAAATAATAATAATTATAATATTAAATATAGTAATAGTATATTATAAAAATTATAATAAATTAACAAAAAAAATATATATGAATGTATTAATTATTTTGTTAATATATTTTTGATATTCTTTTATGAACTTATATTTTTCTTTTCTTAAAAATTGATAAATTTTGTTTATAAAGAATTCCATTTTTTTTTTTTCAAAAAAGTTTAATTTTTTTGTCATTCTTCTTTTTTAAAATTAAAAGTTGTTTTTTTAAAATTATCACTAGGCAATAATGAAATTCTTTATTTGTATTTATTATTAATATTAGTTTTACTTTTTTAATTATTATTAGTTCTATTATCATCTGCCTAACTATCAAAATTGGTTGGTTGTTTTTTAATACTTATTTCGTCTTAATATTGTTAATCTATTTAATTATCAGTTTAAATAGGATTTAATTATTTATTTTCAAACTCTTCGATAGAGTCTATATCACTTGAGCTACTTCTTTCGCTTTCATTATTTAAATTTTCTTCCTATTCTTCATATTCATCACTTTCAGACGAAGTAAAAGATTTGTTATTTTTTTCGATTGTTATAGTAGTATATCTGTTCCACGTCTTAAAAGTAATTTATAAGAACATAAAAGCAATCATTGGATTGAATTTTTTAGATTTTAAAGCAAATGATTAAGAGAATATTTTCTTACTGTGTTTTTAGGAGTAATTTCTTTTTTTTTCAGCTATTTTTAGCTTTGTATTCATTTCTAATTAATTAAATAACTATTGTATTTCAAATCCCGCATTTTATATTAATTCATTGCCATAGGCTTTTCTCATACATGCAAATAACATATCATTGAAATATATATTTCCAAATCCATCGCTTTTTTTATATTATTAATATTTAAATAAAAATATTTCAATTTTTTATTTTTAAAAATAGAAATAATAAATACTCAGTTAAATTCCATTTCATAACATCTTTTGCTATAAGCTTCTTGCTTATTTGCTTTGTCTAATTTTTAAAATAGCCTTTTATTTTTTTTAATATTTTTTACTTTTTATTTTAATCAAATTATATATTTTTTGTTTTAAATAAAGATAATATATTTTTTAATTCTTTCATATTTTTTTACCTAAAGGATGTGGTAATTCTTATAAAAAATTAACTATGTTTTTTACCTCAATTTTTTCTCCTAAAGAAAAAGCAGTAAATTTAGACCAAGTTACTCTAAAAATTTCAACTTTATCATTAAAAAACTACAAAGGATTATCCTCTTTCATATGATAGTCTTCAAAATACTAAATAATAATAAGTATAAATAGATTAAGCATAATAAATGTACAAATGAGAATAAAACTAATAAAATATATTTTACTGAAGGCTTTATTTTATTTTATAAAAATATAATAACAAAAAATAAAATACATGTTCCACAATCAACTCCATCGGTACAACCTTCAGTTTTTCCACAATCAAACATGAAAACTTACCAATTCTCACCTGTAGAACATCTAAAAAGAGTAATCATTGCATTACCAAAATTAAAGAAATTATTATAAGAGTTAATAATATTTCCTTATTTAACATCTTTAAAAAGAAAAACTCCCAAAACAGAATAAATAAAAAAGACCAATAATAAAAGTGCTCCTACATTCATTAGCGAAGGGAAAGCAAAAACCATACAATCAATTATTTTTTGTAAGCCTTGCATGCTCTTAACTAATTTGAGAAGCCTAGTTACTCTAAGAACTCTAACAATTCTAATTAATTAAGGTCCTACCCTTAGAAAAGAAATGCCATTTCCCAAAAAGTTAAGGACAATATCAATAATACTTGAAATAACAACAAAAAGATCAAATTTATTCCATGAAGAAATCCAAAATCCTTCAAACCTGAAAGCAATTAATTTCATAATAAGTTCAACGATAAAGACTGTAGTAAAAAAGTAATTTATTTTTTCTAAAGTATTATTATATTCTATACTAGAACCTTCATAACTTAAAGCCATTGAAATAATATTTAAAATAATACAGATCATAATAGCCGAATCAAAATATTAACTTATTACTATTTGGTATATTTTTTTCGCAACTTAATTTGTTGGTTCTTTATTTGCTGCAAATTCAGCTTTCACAACAATAATCATTTATTGTAATTCAATCCAACGTGATTATTCCTCCGTTAAAAAAATAGAACTTTATCTTTTCTCATTCTTTTAAGCATTATTAAAGTTAAAGAATATAACACCAACAAATAAATTTACTAAAAAGAATGAGCCTATAAGTATAAAAACTACAAAAAAGTATTAAATTATTTAATAATTATCTTTATCAGGACCCTATTTTATATTTATTTATTTACTTTTTTATTTTAAATATAGAAATAACATATTCAGGCATGTTAGAATCTACTGCTTAAAACATTATATTTGGCCAGTTTTCTAAAGAACTAACTATATATAAAGTAGTCATGCTTGTTAAGATATTGTCGAAATTAGTATCAAATATTGACCAACTACACTTAAGTTCCTATTTTTCTTAACATATTTAATTACAAGTAGTTTGATTAATACCATAATAGTTTTAAAGCCCGTTACAATATCCCATTCTATTACCAATTAATGAAATGCTTAAAATGGCAAACATAATCCTTTTTTTTATTTTTTTATAAAATCAATAAAACATATAATTATAAATACCAAATTAAAATAATAACAACAAGTACATTTAAAATACCACTAATTGATTCAAACAAAGCTATAACAACAACTTTCATATTTACGTTATGACTTATAAATCTTAAAGGCCTAAGAGTTCTAAGCATTCTAAGAATTTTAATCACAGGAATATTAACATTATCAAAACACATATCAATTAAAGCTGAACAAACAATAAAGAAATCGATTTAAGACCATGATTCAGTTAAGTAAGAATTTTCATCGAAAATGAATCCATATGCAATAATTTTTAGCATGGCTTCTAAAGTGAAAATAATATTAAATACATAATCTATATAATCAGAAATAATAAGAGCCTAATTGTCATCTCCTATATAACTATCTACAACTAACTTAATTGATGAAGTAACAATAAATGCTAAAATCATATGCTCAAAATGATTATGTTATACAATTTTATAACAAATAATACGGAATTTATTCTATTAAGAAAAAATGAATAATGAATCCTAACATTAAATTCCTTTGAAAAGTTGAACTTTTAATCCTTCTTTTTAATCTTCAAGGAGCATTTGCATTTCAATCTATTCCATTTCATCAGTATCTATTCTTTAGAAATTACCTTCTTCTTCGTTTTATTGAATTTATTTTTGATCAGAATCATCATAAGAAACATCATATTCATATTAATTTCCTTCATCATCATAAATATCCTCTTGTTCATTCATACTTGAAGCAGTAAATCCATCAAGTAAAATGGCTAAGAAAAGGTTCAGGAAAGTCCAATTTCCAATAAAAATCCAAGAAACCAAATAAATAGTAGTTACTCCTTTATTAATATCTGAATTAAAAGTTTTATATAAAATATCATTCCAGTTTTCCAAAGTAACTAATTAAAATACAGTAATAAAAGCGCTTTAAAAATCATCGAAGTTTTATCTAATATCAATATTTTTTTAATTTAATTATCCTCCATAAATCTACATACCTAAAAGTGTATAAATATAAATAAATAGGAACAAAAGAAGTGCTATATAAATAAAAGAATCCAAAGTAATCATAATAACCGATATAATCTTTCCCATAAACTCTAATCCTCTAAGTAATCTAGTAACTCTTAAAACTCTAAAAGTTCTAAAAATACGAACTGATCTAAACGCAGAAACTGCCGAATTTCCTCCAGAAAAAAAAATTAATTCAAAAATAGACAATAATACAATTGATCCATCAAAAATATTCATTCTATCTCTTAAATAACCCAAAGGACCAAAAGCCAATAGTTTAGCTGCCATCTCTGCTATAAAAATATATGTAAATATTTAATTTAATTAATCTAAAATATCATTAGATTTCTAATCTGAAAAAAGACCATTCATAGCCAAAACTGCAGTATTTATAACAACGCAAAAAGTTGAAGTATTTCCGAATATTCCACTTTAAAAAAATTCTCTATAATATCTATGAAAAACTTAAATTTTTCCATAAACACCACTTATCCAAACATTAATTTCTTATCTTTCAGAACTTAAAACTTTCAAAATTTTATTTAAGTGAGTAACTCCTCCTTTTAATCCTCTCAAAACGTCAGTTCCAGAATAGATATTAAAGGATTTTATACCTGTGATAAGTTCTTCAGTTTATATTTTTAAATAATCTTATTTAAATGATAATTTTTCGAAATTTTGTACTTCATCTGTTTCATCTTCTTCTTTCTCTATTTATTATCTAATTAACTTTCTCATGTTTTAATAATTTTAAAGGTCTCCTTTTAATTATTCTTTTGCAAGTTCCAGTGCTTAAAATTTAGAGTTTGCTCTTTCTTTTTTTTTGCTTTTTGAATTAAAACTTTACAAAGAGCTCTATATAATGCAAAATGTAATATCCGGATTTGGAATTAGAAGTGAATTCTCATTATTTAATAATGCAGTTTATATTCTAGAGCTCTTTTTATAGGTATAAATCTCGAAGGATTAGTTTTAAGCTAGTAAGGATTACTTGTTGTAAAATTTAAGCTTTTGCTTGATTTACCATATATATTATTTCCTCCTTTATATTTTTTATTTTTTTTGGCTTTTTTCATAGCAGCTTTTTTTTATTTTTCAGTAAAATTTTTTTTCAGTTTGTATATTAATTTATAATTTAATTATTTGATTTTTATTCCATCTTCAATCATTTTTTTCTCTTCTTCTTTTCTAATTCGATTTTCCATTATATCCATCCAAGAATTAGAGTTATATAAATATTCATAATTTATTGTTATTTTCCAATTTTAAGCTGAAACTAACATTCTAGCTTCTTTTTGCTGTTTTTCTTATTAAGCTTTAAAAGCTTTTTTTTATTCTTCATTCATATCTTCGTAATCTAACTAATTAATGCTTTATGCAATTTTATTTGTAGGTGTTCTAAGTTATTCTACTTTACTTTTTTAATCTTATTTACTTTTAGAAATACTACTTTTACTTATGTTAAGTTATATTTATCTATCTCTTTATTTTTTAAAAAAATCATTTTTTTCTCTTATTTAATTTAAATCTTGAGAGTTTCTATTTGGTCTTTAAATATTAATTTATATACTCTTCTTTTTACCTTATTAAGTTTTATTATTTTAATTATTATTGTTAAAATTGCTATTCGTATTCAAAATGCTTTATTTTTATCCCTAATTGTTTATAATTTTACTTTATCTTTTAATTTAATTATTTTTATTTGTATGAAATTCAAAATTAAAGTCTTATGCAGTTGGAGTGTAAAACTTATTATCAAATTAATATTTTTCTATTTTATTTTTGCCTAATGTTTCTAAAGCTGTGTGAATTGATTGTTTCCCACTCTATGCATTTTTTAATATTTTTAAATCTTTTTCTATTTAAATATTTTAATCTAATGAATCCATTGAATGATTGCTTTATTAACTTTCTTATGATTTTTCTTCTATTACATCTTATTTTATTCCTTTATTTTATTTCTAATTATATTCTTTTTTATTTAATTTTATTACTACTTATTTGCCCATTTATATTTTATTCTTTTATTTTAATAATATATTTGTATATATATAATTTTATATACTTGCTATTCGTATTAATTATTATTTTCATTTTTTATTTTATTTGCGTTTTAAAGAAATTATTGGAGTCTAATATCTAAAATATGCTTATTTTAAAAATAAGCACTATTTCTCTTTTATTCAGTATCTTCTTAATTTTCGATAACTTTTCCTTAAAAAAAATCTGAATCATTTAAAAAGTTATAAGTTTTTTATTAATTTTCATTTTTCTAACTTTCATCTTCATTCTAAACAGAAATGTCAAATGTTACTTAACTCTCTATTTTTTTATTTTTTTATTTTTTATTTATATTAATTTAAAAATCATAATTTTCGTCAGCAAAAACTAATTTGTTTCTCTTGTTTTTTTTTACTTTAAATTTAAAATATTAAAACTATAATTATTAAGCTATTATTATTACTATTATAATTATAATTTTTATTAATACTAATTTTATTCACTATTGTATCTGGTATTTTAAATATTTTCATATTCTTCTAAAATCTCATCAATTTCATTATTTTTTTAATTTTCAAATCATCTACAAAATTAAGATTACCCATAAACTTAATTTAATTTTTAGGCGATTTTTATTAAGAAAAACTCCTATTATTGTCTGATTTATAATGTGTATAAATAATTCTTTAAACGCCTTTAGTTTCATTGATTTATTTTTTTGAATTTTAATAATCATTTTTAAAAACATTAAGCGCTTATTTTATTTCTTGACTTTTTCTCGTTCTCCATATTTAGATATTATCTAAAGTTTACTTTTTTTTTTATATATCTACAATTTTTTATTTTCTTCATTTTTTTAATTTAACAAAAACTAAAGTCCTTCCCAAGTAAATCCTGTTTTTCTTATTTCTTGAATTTATTGTTTATTATGAATAATACTTTCCATAGAAGAAGGAATTTTATAATCTTTTAAGAAATTGAATTTTTCAAATCTTAACTTTTTTCTATATTCTTTTAAAATATCTAAGGACATTAATTATTCTTCTTTCTCTTCCTTATTTGGTTCTCCTTAATTATCTGAAAAGGATGCTTTAATAACTGCCAACATAAGATTAAGTAAGAAAAAAGACCCAAAAAAAATCAAGCAAACAAAATAAAAAATCGTATAAATAGAAAAAGTATCAAACAAATAAAACATTATACTAGTCCATCCTTCTAAAGTTACACATTAAAACACCATTAAAAAAGAATAAAGAATATCATCAAAATTAGTTACTCCATAATCTGGATTTTACATCAATTTTCCACATATTTATCCTTCTTAAGGACAATCTATTCCGCCACAAAGAATATCTCGATTATCAGGAATTCCTGTGTCTGCATAAAAGCATCTTTTTTTTAACATTCCTTAAAATAATTATAAACCTGCAATTGCGAATATAAAAAACATGAATACTAAAATAATTAAAGTGTTTATTAAATCTGGTAAAGCTTAAAATAATGTAGAAAGTAATACTTTTAAACTTCTTATTGTAGAAATAGCTCTTAAAGGCCTTAATATACGAAATGATCTTAAAGAATTAAGATTAACTGAATTATCAGATGCTACTAAAGGTATTAAAGACGAAATTACAATTATAAAATCGAGAATATTCCATCTATCCCTTAAATAAGCTCCTTAATTAAAAATAAATCCCATCCCAATAATTTTTATTATAGCTTCAATTGTATAAGTCCACAAAAAAAAATCTTCAATATAATTTTATATTAAGTTTTACTTATCAGTAGTAGGATCATCAAAAGCCAAAAATATAGAATTAGCAATAATAATAAGTAAAATAAATGAATCAAAAAATTAATTTGATATTATCACTTTACAACAATAACTAATAGACCTATATATTTTTTTTTAATAAACATAAAAATTAAGATATATTTATAATAAATATACTTTATTATAAATAAAATTAATTTCTATAAACTAATACAAGGAAATTTTGATTTATATAAAGCTAATATTTCTATAGGATTTTTAGGTTTACATAAATATTATATTTCTAAATAATATTTTTTGTTTATTTTTTCCATTACATCTGCTTCTTTTTCGTAAATTGCTTAAAAACCTTCGTACATTTCGCTTTAGAAAATATGCATAAGTTAATTATATGCCTTATTTTCATTCTATATTTCATTTGATTCTTATTTATTTTCATATAATTGCATATCTTCTTCATCTTAATTTTAAAAAAGATTTTTAAATTTACTATATTCTTGGTTATCTTTAATTTCTTCTTAATTATTTTCAAATTTATCAATTCGGAAGCTTAATTATTTAATAAACTTGCTTTTATTAATTTTTAATTTTAATTTAAATTAAATACTATATCATTTTCTTCGTTTAGTGAATAAATAGATTGATTATTAGAAAATTATTTTGAAACCCTATTATATTTTATTGGAGTTAATGCATCATATTAGAAATTATCAATTTATTATAATAATTTAGTTTAATCAGAAATTATGGAAGATCTTTCACTTTTTTGTAAGTTATTCTCATAGATTAATTTATTAAAATTTCTATTTTATAAAGTTGTTTAAATCTTTTATTCGTCACAATTAATGATACTTTACATGTCTTTTATTGATAATTTATTATTTATTACTTTATTATATGTATTTAAGTTTTCATATTATTTATTTTACTATTTATTTATGGTTTATAATTCCATTTATATAAAGATTTATATATTTATATTATTTTGACTTCAATATGATATTATTATTTCTATATAATTTATATATTTAATAATTTTTTTTTTAAATCTCTATAAAACTTTTTATGTATAAAAAAAATATTAATTTAGATATAAAAGTATTTTAAAATACTGAATATAAAAAGCTTTTTATGTTACAAATACATATTATATATACAATTTTAGATTTATATTATATTTTAAAATAAACATTTTATTTGATTTTATTTTTATTAAATATAATAACAAAAATAAAAAAATTATATAATTAATTTTAAAATTTAGTATAAATTTGATCTTTTTATAAAAAAATAATAGAAAAAAATTAATTATTGATTTATTATATTAAATTAAATAAATATAATCTCCACAATATAAAAATTAAATTATTCAAGAAAATAATTATACAAATATTATCTATTTTTATGTATAAAAAAAGTAGGAAAAAGCTAATCAGGCTAATAATTATATTTTAAAGGACTCATATCTATTACTTTTAAAATTTAATAATGAATTTATGAGTGAAAAAAAAGAAGAAAATATATAATTAATAAAAAGAAAATAAATAATAAAAATGAATAGAGAGAATATAAAAAATATATTTTATATAAGTAAATACGAAATATTTGATAACTTTCTTCTAATATTATTTATGAAAATATATTAAATATAAAATTTTTAAAAGAAAAAAAAAATTAAAATAAAAATGATAAATATAATATAATTAGTAATAAAAATAAATATATATATATATATATATATTTATATATATATATATATATATATTTTTTTATATATTTATATATATTTATACACATGATATTTATAATATATTTATATTATATTTAATTTAAATAATATATTACAAATTTTTTTTTTTTTTTTTAATTATAATCATATAATATATATTTCTTAATATAATTTTTTTTCTAGTCTCTTATCTTTATTTTTTTTTAGTAGAAAAGATTATTTTAAAAGTGAAAACTGTATTTTTTATCTTATTATTTTTATTAATTTTTTTATTTGTATTTTTGTCTTTGCAAAGAAATAAAATTTCTGTATTTAAATATATTAAAAATATAAATGTTTTTTTTTTACTTTATGTTTTAATATTTAAATTATAGATTATATTTATATAATATATTACTTTTTTTGGCCTTTTTTAAACAAAATCATAATCAATATATATTATGCTTAAAATTATTATATTTTTTTTATTGAGTTTTTTTCAAAAACAAAAAGAAATACAAAAACATCAATACATATAATATTTAATAAATTTTTAAAATTTAAGTATTGATATATTTTTAATTATATTTTATTTAGTTACATGAGATATTTTTTTTAGTTTAAAATCATATTATATAATTATATTAAACGAATATTTTTATTTTTTAAAAATTTAAATAAAATAAAATTTTATATATTTATTAAATTTATAAATAAATTATGAATTTTATTATTTTAATAAAAACTTTTTTATAATAAATTATAATAGCACCTTTTTTTAAAAATATAAATAAAAATTAAAAATAATTTTTTTTACTAAAAAAAAAAAAAAAAATAATAAAATCTCAAAAAAAAAAAAAAAAAAAAAAATTAATTATAAATAACTCTAAACTAAATATTAAAAAATATATAAATTATATTCATTTATAAAATATTTAATATTCATAAAAGATTTTTCAAAAGCAAATTCTTTTAATTTATTTCATATATCAACATCCCTTTTATATTAAAAATAAAATAAAATAAATTATAATTATATTTACATATCATCATCTTCCTCATCATAATCATGGAAATTTTTTCCTTCATCTTCTTTTGTCCAATATCTTGTTCTTTCTTTTTTATCAACAATTACTATTTTGCAACTTTCACTATTACAAATATATTATATAACAATATTTTTTTATTCTGGACCAGCTTTAAAATAATAAACAGCCTCATCATATCCACACCAAGGGCATTTTCTTTTTGTTCTTGGCATAGATGGATCTTTTCCTAATTCAGGATCATTAATATCGGCTGCTTCTGAATAAAACATTTTATTTTATTTTATTATTCTATCATCAGCATCATTTTCATCTATCAAAAATGTCCTTGGACCGCATGAATTACATTTAAATATTATTTCATTTATATTTTATCCTGCGCTATATGGTAAACACAGGGATTCACAAAATGTACAAAATCTAAACCCATTACAATTTTCAACTTATTATTCTTAATTCATTTTTTTATTTAAATTATATATTTATTTATATATTTAATTAATTTTTTGTTTTTATAAAAAATAAAGATATATAAATTTTAAATTAAAATATTGCTAAAAAACAAAAAAAAGAAAAAAAAAAAAAAAAAAAAAAAAAGAAAGAAAGAAAGAAAGAAAAAAAAAAAAGCTTTCATTTTTATTTAAATTATTAATACAATTCATCAATATAAAAGTATAAATTTTCGTAAGTGATAATAGTATTAGATTAAGTATTTTTTTAATTATTATCAAATCTAATATTCAAGCACTAAACTTCACATTTATTTAAACAAATAAGCTTATAAATTTCTTCTTTTAACTTTTCAACTGAGTTTTCACAATTAAGTACTATCTTATTATAGTATAAATCTACAACAAATTTCTTAAAATTATTCTTCTAAGTACTCTATATATTATAAACAAAACTTAATTTGCGCATAATATCCATAAACTATACAATAGGATCTACTTCTAATTTACTAAGATTATTCTAATCCATCTTTAAAGAAATTTTCTTTTCTCCACAAGAAGGTATTTTATTTATTTTTCCATTTAAATTTATCACTTCATTATTTAAATATATTTCTCTTTCTTTTAATCGATCAATTTAGTAAACCAATCATGGTCCTATTAACGATAAAATGCCTAAAATATCGAATCTATTAACTTAATCAATTACTATGCATTAATTTACTAAATCTATTAATACATCACTATAATTAGAGTCTTCTTTAGTTAATCTTTGATGGTCTAATTCCACTATTTTTTTTGCCAATATAAGTGGATTTCCATTCTAAAAGCAGGCTTAAGTGTTAGTAATTCATATAAATACAACCAAAAGACCAAATATCAGCTTTAATTAATTATAAAAATTATTTTAAATTATTTCTGGACATGAATAAACTAAAGTTCCGACAAAAGATTGTGTAACATTAACTGATTAAGTAAGGGTTTTAGCAAGTCCAAAATCAGTTAATTTAATATTAAAATCGCTGTCAATCATAATATTAGCTGGATTAAGGTCTCTATGTACAATTTATTTATCAATATGTAAATACTTAAGTACTGAAGCTATATTAGAAATTATTTTCCAAATCTACTTTTCAGAAAAAAGTATTCCTTTTTCAATTTATAATTTAATAAGTTCACTCAAATTAAACCCTTCTACAAATTCCATAATAATACATAAACTTTACATTTCTACAAAAGATTCGTAAAAACTTACAATACTGGGATGCTTTAAAGTCTTATATATTTCGACTTCTTTAAATTTTTCCTAAAAATTATTTTAATTTACTTATTAAGGAGATAAAACTATTTATTTAAGTGCATATTTATTTACTCCTTTCTTAACTAAATAAACAGTACCAAAAGCATCTTTTCCAATTAGTTAAATTATTTAATATGAGCCTAATTAAATTTAGTAAGAAGTTTATTTGTTTGAATCTAATTAACGGAAGCTTTTTGTTATTTTATCTATTTCATTTAAACTTAATTTATTAAATTCATTTGCTAAAACTTATATTTATTAAAATTCTTAACATAATTTCCAATATCTACAAAAGCTGTAAATATTTAAGTAGGAAATAGCAATTTAAATATTTTTTTATTTTTTTCAATGGTAAAAAGGAATCTTAAGTATAAATAAAAATTTAAATAAAATAAAAAAAATATCTAAGTATAAATATATATGTATATAAATATATTTATAAATATATATATGTATATATACATTTTTTTATATATATATTATTATTTAAAATTTATATATTTTATATTTTTTTTATATTATTTATTTTTTATTATACCTTAATAGCCTAAAGCAATGTAGTTCTAATTCATATATTGCGACTTCTATTGTTTCTTTATTTATTTCTTTTAAAATTTTTGTTATTTCATTTTTTTTATAAGGATGACATGAAATTAAAATTAAACTTATAGTTTCTAAATTTTATTCATATATTTAATGTTAAATATCATTATCTAATATTAGAAAACTTAAAATATCTATACTTAATAATAATTCCATATAATTTTATGTAGTTTTAATAATATTTTATAAAATCGTAACAATAGAAAAAGCTTTAAAATCATAAATAATTCCATATTATTGAATTAGTTTATAAATTAAATTTAAAACAGATATTTTAATATTTGAACTAGCATCTATTTTCTTTAACTCATTCAAAAGAATTCCTATTCCTTATATTCTTCTTAAATTTTCAAAAACAACTTGATGTTCAATTAATTTAGTAATAATATTTAAGCAAATACATTTAAAAATTTCATCATATTTTTCTATTAATAATAAAACCTTTGCTATATAAAATATTTATCCGAATTCTTCTACATATTAACTTATTTAATTTTTATTTATAATATCAAAAAACAAATTCAAAAAATCAAATAATGTCTCCAAAATTAAATTATTATTAATTGATATTAAATCTATTATATTAGTAAATAAACTCTTATTCTCAAACATAATTTATTCCATTAGCCTTGTTACTATTCTAATACATTCTGTGCAAATTGCAATTCCAGTCATATCAAAGTTTTATTATATTTTTGATTAAAAGTCGGCAATAATATCTTTCAAATTTTCGTATATAAACTTACTATCTTCAATTAAAAATGGTATTATATTTTATTTGTCTCGTGACAATAGTCTAATAAGTTATAAAATTTTCAATAAATTTAATGAATTCGCTTCATATATCCAATTTTTATTACAAATTCGTTTTATTATTATTTCTTTTATAAGTATTTTATATTATTCTTAATTAAATATGTAAGAATTTGAATTTTCTTAAATGAATTATTCAACTAAATTCAACTCTTTTTAATCATAATCGACATTTTATAAAATATTTTAGCCTTTTAAATGTTCAGTTAATAATGACATAATTTATATTTTTTTATTAAATTCAAAATAAAAAATAAGAAAATTTAAATATATAAGTTTTTCTATATTTTTTTTTTTAAAGAGATAAATGTATTAATTTTATATAAAAAGAAAAATTAAATTTAGTAAATATTTTTTTTTTTTTTTTCGTAAAAAATTAATAAAAAGATGTTTCTTAGATTTTTTTAATATTTAAACAAGCCGTAAATTAAATATTTTAATTTCAAAAATAATTATCTATTTTCAAATAATGAATATTCAAATTTAACCTATTATTAATTACTAGAAGTTCATCAAAATGCAAATTAAAGAGAAATAAAATAAAAATTTTTAGAATTAGCTAAAAAATATCATCCAGATGTATATAAAGGATAAGATTAAAACCGTTTTAAATATATAAAATAAGCATATTAAGTATTAAAAAAACCACAAACAAGGAAATAGTATGATGTTGAATTAAAACAATAAAGGGAAGATTCAACTAATATAAATTATTAAGCCTAGCAAAATTAAAATAATGAAATATACGATGATAATACAGATTCAAATTATGAATATAAAGAAACCATAAAAATAGATCTTGAAAAAGAATACTACTAATTTATGTCTAAGCCAGTAGAAAGACCACCTGATCATGTAGTAATTTATGAAGATATAGTTGAAAGACAAATGAATATGGAAGAGAGAATAAGACATGAATATTCTTATCTAAAAAATAATGAAACTATTATGAGATTAAGATTTGAACATTAATAAGGATATTAATAGACTTTAGATGATACAATAAATATAATGAATGAAAATGCAAAAAATACAGATGAAGTGATATAATATAAGTAAAAATTGCATGCTAAAAAAGTTAAAAAATATGAAAAATATATTTTATTTTTACTTATTGTTATTTCGATTCCAATTGTATAAAATATTTTAGAACGAAGAAATGATTTTTACCAATTTTTGGATAAAAAATCAATAGAATTATTGAAAATAGATAATGATATTGAACTTAAGGAAGTTCAGAATAGAATTTAATTTGAATATAAAAACTAATGAAAATAGAATTATATATTTTAATATTTAAATTTTTATTATGTTTAAAAATATATAATTAAGAATTTCAAACTTTTATAAATTAATTGCATTATATAAAAGTGTCTAAAATAAAAAAAATAATGGTTAATGACTTTAAATTATATTGGAAATAAATCCTAAAAACCTTATTTTTTTCTAAAATTCTTCTATAGGAGTTTTTTTTATTTTAAAAAATATAATATTAAAATTATATATATTACTATAAAAAATTATAAGTCTATTATCTCTTTTCTTGTTAAGCTATAAATAAATAGACAAATAAAATTTACATATATTGATAAATAGAAATTATTTTCATTTAATTAATTTTCTAGTAATATAAAAAATATTTTTTTTATTACATTGTGTTTTTTTTTTTTTTTTTGATTTATTCAATTAATTTAGTAAATCAAAAAAAAACCAATAATATAAATAAAATAAATATATATCATTTTCAAATAATTTCTAATAAAGTTTTACAAATTTATTATTACTAACAATAGTTTTTATTTTATAATCAATATCAATGGAGTTATATAAATTTTATTTTTTATAATACGGCACTGGTTAACTGATTTTCTATTCGATATCAGAACTGATGTTGATACTACTTTTTTATTTTATTCAAAAAAACTGCTAATTTTTTAAATTAAATATGATTCATTTTTACACATATATCTTTTCCTATAATTATTATATCATATTTATAATTATTTTTTATTTTTAGATTAAATTATAGAATTATTCTAATTATTAACTTAATATGGAACTAAATTATGATATTATCAGTCTATATTAA